AATTCTAGACATAAATAGTGTGAGTGAATTGGATTTTTTTTTGTACATATATATTTTTATAAGATATTTTTAGATCAGTTTTAGGTTTACAACATAATTGAGAGGGAGGTACAGAGATTTCTAAAATATCCCCTACCTCTCCCACCACACACACGTGTAGTCTTTCCCATTATCAACATCACTCATCAGAATGGTATATATATATTTAACCAACCAAGGATGAACTTATATTGACACAACAGCATGATCACCCATAGTCTATAGTTGACCTTAGGATTCATTCTTGATGTTGTACGTACTATGGGTTTGGTCAAATGTCTAATGACTTATTTACATTTACTGACATGAAACACAATTTGATGGGTTCTTCCCCTGCCCTCTGTCTGTGGTTTCTTTCTCTCATGTTCTATACTGCAGTCAGGTTTGCACATGCTCTGCTTTTCTTGGTTTTTAGCCTCCCACATATGCTAGAACTCCATCTTTGATAGTTCCACCACAGAAGGAATGTAGATAGAGTTGCAGGATGGTCTAAGGAAGGGTTCCTTCCCTTTCTTCTTTGGCCCTAAGGACCATCCTCTGGTTCTTACTCATTTAGAGGCTAAGGAGCTATCTTCAGTGACGATCTTTTGGAAAAATACAAAAGTCACTGTCCTCTTGGAGCTTACATCTCAGTCAGGAAAGATAGGCAACAAACAGTAGTTACAATAAGTAATTATATAGAATATGAGAAAGGAATTAGTGCTATGGAAAGGGAAAATGTAAAACAGCGGAATCAAGAGGATCGGTAGATATAATCTGCATATTAGCACTCATTAAAATGTTCAATACAACAAGAGTAGCTAACACTAGTGGAGCATTTAGTGTGAGCCAGCTACTAATCTAAGTGCTTTTCTCTGTTAACTCAGTTTATTCTCAAACAATAAAATGTTAGTTGCAAAGTGCTTACCCAGCTCTTGGAGGAAGACCCAGGAATGAGAAAAAGAGGAGGCAAAGCCCTATGTGTTCCACTTGGGAAGTGTCTGGGGTACTTGTCTCTTTCTTCTAGCACCTGAAGAGGCGTTGGAAAATGCACTTTGTAACAACCCAAGAAAGAGACTAAGCATTTGGGTATATTTCCATTAGATAGTTTGATTTGGCTTATTTAAAAGTGGGGAATAACTTCATCTGCCAGCAGCCCAGAGGGATAAGGATCTGAGAGAAGGGAGGCTTCTGGGAACTGTTCAAACTGCTTAATGTGTTCAAACAAGCTGTAACTCATCAACCTGTCGTCATGCAAGCGCCTTCCTCATTCCTCACAAGCGGTTCCACAAGGCTCACCACAAAGCAGCTCACCCTAGAAAATCCCCACCACCTGGCCTTTGTTACTATGTCTCCTTTGTGAAAAGCCCTAACACTCTTTCCTCACCTGATAAATGACCACCTGCCCTTCAAGACTTAACTCAAACCTGACTTACTGGATGCTAACTAGAGCATGCTCATCTTTTATTTAGGAGTGCATGCAGACTCAAGTACTGGAGGGTTTGGGTTTACTGTAGAGGATGGCACACCATCCAACAGCTGTCCCGCCTGGGAAACTCAATCTCTCTGAGCCTTAATTTCCTCAAATGTAAACCATGGAGTGCCATTATAGGTACCTCAGAAGCTTGTGCAAAAATAAATGCACTGGTACCTATAAAGTGGTTAGAGCACTGCCCAGCACAGAATAAACACCCAATGAACATTAGCCATTGTGATTATTGTTGTTCTGAGTCAAGTACAGTATCAGGTATTTGATGAATTATAGAAGTGAATTAATCAATCAATCTCTCTTTTTACAGGAGGAGCAAATGGGCTTTAGAAAAGTATTTTCCCACTACTGGTCACCGCTGGACTTTATTATATCTCACAAATAAGTCAATGAAAATGACTGATACCAGAAGCAGATAAAAGATACTTTCAACAATCACAGAAAAATCAATGAGAACCTGCTTAAAGCATTTATTTTGAGTATAAAAATATTAAATTGTCATTTGAGAAATTTGCAAGAAGAAAAATACATAACAAAGAAAATTAAAACAAATCTTAGTATCTCTTTTCTATATGTATATAAGACCTATGAATATGAACATATATGAGATTCACCTATAAAAATGTCATTTAAAAACCAAATTTAGGTATCATGCTATGTATGTACACGTATTGAATTTTCTAGGTAATATGCCTAGAAACACATTTTTTAATGGGTATATTACTATATAGATTGAGTTCCATTTTTATGCATTATAAATCATATAGCTCACACTTCTTCATATGTAAGTCTTTGTTTAAATATTTATTTCCTTAGAATAGACTTCTAGAAGTAGAATACTAAATCACAAGGTAAAATCATTTTTTAATGTTCTTAATATATACATTGTCAAATTGCCTTTCAGAAGGACTATGCCAGTTTATAATCCTAGTGTAATTTAAAAATTCTTGTTTTCATAGCTGTCATTTTTACTGAGAACACTTTTAAAGCATTGTTAACCAGATAGATTAAAAAAAATTGAAATGTAATTTCCTTCATTATGAGTGGAGGTAGTTTTCCCCACGCTTTTATTAGCCATGACCCCATAAAAAATAAACTGCTGTTAAATAGTGGACGTGACTGCAATCATTCCATGGGAAAGCACCATGTAAAGAATAAGTAGGTAGGATCTTAGGTGAAGATCAAGAAACAAATATGTATCAGGTGCCTCCTCTGTCTGGAATAATGAACCATGTTTGGCCCTGTGTAACTAAAACTAGTTTTACCTACATTGTCTCATATAAACCTCCTAACCAGTACATGAGAAAAATGGCTCTATGGATTGACTTATGCACCACCCCTCTCCAAAATTCATTTGCTAAGACCCTAACCGCCTTTGTAACTATATTTGGAGACAGAGCTTTTAGGAGGTAATTTAGGTTAAAGAGGTCATAAAGATGGGTCCCTAATCCAATAGGATTCCAGGTCTCACAAGAAGAGAAAGAGGGAGCCATCACTCTCCTGGCGCGCATGCACTAAAGAAAGACTGTATAAGGACAAAGCAGGAAGGCAGCCGCCTATAGGAGAGGAGAAGGGGTATCACCGGATCCTGACCATGCTGGCACCCTGGCCTTTTCTAGCCTCCGGAGCTGTGAAGAAATAAATTTCTATTGTTTAAGCCACGCAGTCTATTTTCTTTGAGGAGCCTGAGAAGACTAAGAGTGAGGTGGGAGAAGCAGAGCCTTTTGAAGTCAGACTTCTTGAAATGAAGTCCCAGCTTTCCTGTTCACCAGCGCTAAGACTTTGGGCAAGTTATGTGACTTTTCTGTGACTCAAGTTCCTCATATATAAAATGAATTCCTACATTTTTTTATTATTTGAGGGAAAAGTACTTGGGACAAGTACTGTACTTGTGTGAGTACAGTATCTATACTGTATCTATGTGTGAGTTTGTTTTCATGGTATATTTTAGATTTATAATGCAAAATATGAATCTTTTTTCTATGCATATTACATTATGGAATCTAAGAATTTAAAAAAATCCCATTCTTTGTTATTTTACAGCAATGATATATTCTGTTCATTCCATAACCCAACCCTAAATCACTGACATTTAATGGCACAACTTCTAAGGGATCACCAAAGTTCAGGGAAACCAAATACACGTTAAAAGAGAGTCCTCAGTAAGATGCACTTGTAATCTAAGGAGAAGAAATTTTCAAACAGAAGGTCAGAATGTATTAGTAGGCTGTGAAATCAATCTCATGATTTACAACCAGCCTTTTTAAAAAATAAAATAAGCTAAATTAAAATATATCAGAGAGCCCTTAAGGTAGCATTGTTTTCAGAGTTTTTGTTTCAGATGTTTGTGTGTAGGTGCACATGTGGGCACATGGATGTGAAGCGGAGTGAAAGATTTTTCCATTTTACTTTGCAATCAGAAGTTTGAAAGTCTCATCATCTGATTTCCTCTGAAGTATTTCAGAAGAAGAATGAATACATTATTGTAATCTTTATTTCCCCACAGCTCTGTAGACACACCCCAGTCCTTTTAGAGATCTAGGTGGGTCTGTGGTTTCCAATGAGCTCTTCATATACAGGTTCCTGCCTCACATTTTATATTAAGGGGAGGGATTGTATTTGTTTCCTTGAGGTTTTTTTTTTTTTTTTTTTTTACAGTGAAGTGTGAAGGAGATGGGGGTGGACATAGGGGTAAGGTTTCAACAAATGAAATCAGAAACAAAACTCAGTTTAGGACGCCAGCCACAAGGGGACCTGATTTTGGCCAAGCAGATATCATGTGTGAGATCCATATTATTTACTTGAGGGTCTGCTATCAAGCTATAGAGACTGAGAAGTTATTTTCATCACAAACAATCCACATGTCTGTAGATCATGGTTTATTAGATTGTGTTTGCCCAAATAAGGTGGTACCGTACCTGAAGTTTTTTCAATTCTAAAAGCATCTTTCAAGTCTGCAGTGAGATCTCTAAGATATCTGTGTTACTTCCCTCACGTACATAAATAATTTTCAACTAGAATAAAGGTGTGAATAATTTATTTTTTCCACCAACTGGAAGCCAACCATTTGGAAGACCACTCAGGAGAAATGAGATAAGTCTTTTGTTAAAAATTACTTTTATATTTACAAGGAAAAGAGGAAGTTTTGTTCTTTTCTTTGAATTTTGGTGACAATTGAGAGATTTATTGAATAGCTTTGGCATGCAGAGTGTTTTTTCATTAAAAATTGAAAAGGCATCTGAAATCTGTATCTCTCTGGGTTATTTGGCAGTGGAACCTGGGCAATTCCGTGCAAGAGATTTTTGAGATATTCAATTTTTGGAAGTGAAACAAACACAAATGCTCCTCCTCCAAGGGGCGGGGGCGGTGCCTGAGCGATGAACCAATCACAGCGCGCCCTGCCCTATATAAGGCCCTGAGGCCCAACCCCGCCCCCCACCCTTGGCACTTTAAGGTACTTGCTTAATGGTATCTTCTGTTTTTCTTTGCTGTTATGTGTGAGACTGTGCCTGCCGCTCCAGCCGACCGGGTTCCGGTTTCCATGGAGAAACCTCCAGCTAGGAAGCGGGGAAAGAAGCCGGTTGGCTTGACGGGTGTGAGTCGGAAGACAGCAAGCGCATCAGTGTCCAAGTTGATTACTGAGGCGCTTTCGGTGTCCCAGGAGAGAACTGGTATGTCCTTGGTTGCGCTGAAAAAAGCGCTGGCAGCCGCAGGTTACGACGTGGAGAAGAACAACAGTCGCATCAAGCTGGGTCTCAAGGGCCTGGTGACCAAGGGGATCCTGATTCAGACTAGGGGTACCGGTGCCTCTGGCTCTTTCAAGCTCAGCAAGAAGGCTGCTCCTGAGCTTATTAAGGGAAAAGTCAAAAAACGTGCTTCTGCGAAGAGTAGGAAGCTGGTCTTATCCAGAGATTCAAAGTCTCCGAAGAATGGCAAAACAAACAAAAGAGCTAAGAAGCCGAGGACCACGACGGCTCAGAAGGCTGCTAGGAATGGGCAAAAAGCTAAAAGAACCAAAGACAAGCAACAACGGAAGAGCCCAGCGAAGGCCAGGGCAGGAAAGCCCCAAACTGGGAATCCTAAGTTGACCCAGAAGAAAACTAATACTAGGAAAGCAACAACCAAGAAGTAACGTTTCTTCAAAAACCAGTTTTCATAGAACCCAAAGGCTCTTTTCAGAGCCACCTAAGTGATTTTAGGAGGGTTGTAACATCGTTTCCAGAAGTGTCTGGAAGAAGACTATTGGTTAGCCTAAGTGTTTGATAAACGAACCTGTGATGTGGTGAAATATATCTTATTGGACATACAGTACAGATACTTTACCGTGGTTATTGTCCAATTCCAGAGAATTGTCCATCCTAACAAAACCAGGGCACATTCTTTAAGTAGTTAAATGCTCTGCGAATACTGGAAGAGGCAGCCATTCTCTTCCCTAGGAGGATCTTCCTGAACTAGGGATCAAACCCAGGTATCTTGCATTAGCAGGCATATTCTTTACCATCTGCCCAGCTAGAGAATTACTCCTTGAGAGCTACTACGTTTAAAGTTTAGGTCTAGTTTCTGAGCGGAGATCTGCTTCGTGCCTCAACTATGTTTTACCATGTTTTGTATCTTTTCTCCGCCTAATTCTCCAGTATGTACTTTTATGTATCATTCTGTATAAGGGTTCTGAACTCTGTATCCATGGGCTTAACAGGGGTTAATACAGGGAAACCAAGGTCTCAATTTGGGTTAGTGGGAAGTTTTGTTTTACCTACTAAACATCTTTCCACTATGATTTTGTGTAAAGCAAACGTTTTAGTTTTACATTTGCAAGAATATTGAAATTTTTGTCTTCGTTACTATGAAAGCTGTCAGATTATTTTCTATATGTTAAGCACATATATTAAAATTTGGTTTTGTAATATAGTCTTATATAATTCTGGTTGTCAATGAAGAGTGTCTTGTTCATACTGCCCTACACAGGCTGAAAAATGTTAAACCATGTATGGAGATGTTGTGAGCTCAATGTGACCTTTAAATTATAAACCTGCTTGTATTAGGAAAAGCATCTTTTCCACTTTAAACAATTTAGTTTGTTTTTACTTAATTTGTAATTTAGCCTTATTTAAAGATCCTCGTAAATAATACATTTATACTGTTCATCTTGTTTTGGGCCTTGGTATTTGGGGCGACTTCGAACAAACTCAATGCAAAACTATGTAATTTAAGCAGTTTCACATACAGCCATGTTCTACAGATGATTCACTAGGACATATACTGTCTGAATTCATTTGTATAATCGGACCTCTGAAGAAAAATTATTTCCTGTATGGAAAAGGACTAAACACAATGGTTTCCGATTTGTGTGTTCGATTTGTATAGAATCAGCCACAGCCCAGAACTTTCGGCAAAGTGGCCACTGTTTTACGGAGTCGGGATAGTGAAGGAAAATTATTCACTTGCTAAAAAAGGCAGTTAAGCCCATTTTCTGTACCCGAGACTCACCGCAGAGGAAAAGGAGGCTGGCTTCATCCCACCCAGCAGTGGGCCGACTGCCAAGCACTACTGGAACCTGTGCGGAACCGGTTAGACCACTCTGTGCCTTTGTTCCAGCGTCCTTCAGAGCCTGGCATAAATCGGATTGTTCCTGGTACCCTTATGAAGCTCCACGCCTTGGCTAACAGAAAAGCGGATTTTTTTTCACCATAGTGAGAATCGGCCAATGAAAGCTTGTCCCCAAAGAGCCCTTATTGGCATAGGTATGTATTGTGTGGGCGAGAACGCGAAGCTTTGTGCCATTAAACCAGCCAGTCAACCAGTTTGAAGGCTGGACATCGAAATACACAAAACGCCATTATTTTTATTGGTGGTTTTACCGAGTCTAAAACCCTATTTCCATTATGAAAAAGTCCCTTCCCAACCCCTCGGAAGTATGGATGTGGAACTGCGTTAAGGCAACTCCTTTTCACAGTTACAAAGTACTTCCTTACTCACACCTCAGTAACGTCCACAGCTCTTCAGCGAATGTTTGGGCGGCCCTGAAAAGGGCCTTTAGGTTCTCAAACGTTTCAAGCAAATACTTTGCTCAACCACCAAAACCGTAAAGAGTACGGCCCTGACGTTTGAGCGCGTAGACGACGTCCATGGCGGTAACAGTCTTGCGCTTGGCGTGCTCCGTATAGGTGACCGCGTCCCGGATCACATTTTCCAGAAACACTTTCAGCACCCCACGAGTCTCTTCGTAGATAAGACCAGAGATACGTTTGACCCCACCACGCCGAGCAAGACGCCGGATAGCTGGCTTAGTAATACCCTGGATATTGTCCCGCAAGACTTTGCGATGGCGCTTAGCGCCTCCCTTACCAAGACCTTTACCACCCTTACCACGACCAGACATGGTTGCTGCCGCTGAACTCCACAGACTTGGCACTGCCCTTTAAATAGCATTCTAGCGGACCTGATTGAAAACAACACGCTCAGGCGGCTTTTCCAAATTAGGTCATCAGGGGGTGGGGCAAGGAGAGGGTTATTAACATTTCAGTGTTTTCATTGGTCAGAAAACCTCGGTCTTCAATTGAGCTCCTGGCAGCGGAGGTGGCCTTCAATCGAATGAAAGCTTTAGTTTCTCTTTTGTCTTGCACTTTTTTTCTGTGCCCGTTTGCAAGTTGAGTGTTTTCTTATCAGCTCGAGGACATGGAGCAAAGAGCTCCACTTCAAATTTCTTTTTTATAACTTTTTGTTGTTGTTGTTCAGTCGCTCAGCCGTGTCCTACTCTGCGACCTTCACCATCTCCGTGAACTTGCTGGAATTCATGTCCATTGAGTCGGTGATGCCATCCAACCATCCCGTCCTCCCCTTCTCCTGCCTTCAATCATAGCTCGGTAACTAACAAATTAGGGCTTCCCAGTTGGCTCAGTGGTAAAGAATGCATCTGCCAATGCAGGAGACGCGGGTTCCGTCCCTGAATGGAGAAGATCCACTGGAGGAGGAAATGGCACCGCACTCCAGCATTCTTGCCTGGGAAAATCCCATGGACATAGGACCCTGGCGGACTACAGTCCATGAGGTCACAGAGTTGGACACGAGAGTACGAGCAAGCAAAACTAATAAATTAGATAATGGTTCTTTGGGGGATATAAAAATAATATGTAAAGGAACATAGAATTATAGGTGATGGGACTTTCCCTTTCAATTCGTTTGTTTCAATTTTAAAGGCCGCATTTTAATGAGACAAACTATAAGCCTGGCCATAAAGAGGCTCTGGTACTAAAACTCCTGTGTATGGAAAGACTAAAAAAATAGACAAACAATTACAAATTAAAACTATTTTCTTCTCTTTCTCCATTCAAACATGTACTGCGTGACTCCTTTTTCGGCAAATACATGTGAGAGAAGGAACTTAAAAGTAGGCTTCAGTAATCAGTTGTCCCTGGACCCTCTTCATGGCCTTCTGCACCTGTCTGATTGGGCTTCAATTCTTAAAAGCCCCTTTCTCTTTTCCATTAGTCCTTTCTCAACCTTCTTAAGTTTTAGAGACAAGAACACATGTTTTGTAGAGTTGGGGATTAATAGTAGGATGGGGCTAATACTTGATTAAGGTCATTACTAAGCCTACAGGGCCCTCACCTGGGAGGCTTTTGATAAGATTACAGAGGGTTATAGACAGGCTAGTCCCTGTTTTTTTGTTTTTGATTTTAAGCAAAATAGAATTGGATCTGAATATGGTTTGAAAAGGACTTCTCAATCAAAAAGCTTCTCTTTAGTTTTTAGTTGCAGCTTTTGAAAATTTCCACAGTAAGAGTCACTCTAGTTAAATTGAAAAAGAAAAAGACTTCTCCCCCAACCCCCACCCCAATCCTGGTTAATAGATAAATGTCCACTGGGGAGACTTAGAATATGACCTTACACTATAACATCAGACTTGGGCAAAAAGGGAGAAGAGACCCAGTAATGGAGAGGAAAGACCCAGGAGAGGGCAGGAAAGCTCTTTATGGCACAGGGTTTATATCACTTCTAAACTAATTAGATGGGGTTACATTTTTCTGCCCCAAATTGAGAGTTTTTAGACTCCTGACTTTCAACACCCTCTCCCACTATGAACCTGCACCTTATAAAGGCGACATAGCTAGGAAGAAGTGTCAAACATTACAGAGGAAAAGTATGAGGTCAGAGTTCATATGTAAACATGAAATTTCCACATGCTTTTTAATTCATGAAGGTACAATATAGTTCCTTTTTCTTATTCTCTTCTCTCAATTTCTTCTTTTCTAAACTTTTCTCAATAACATTGACTCAAAAAGTCATAACTGTCAGAACAGAAATATTTAAAATATGTTAAAAATGTATCCTTCTGCTCTTGAAGCCAGGTGTTACTTGGTCCTATGGCTTGGAAGAGAGTGGGTCACCTGGAACTCATCCTCCGAGTGAACCTAGCATCACAGAACCCCATTTATGTCACCAAGACCCTACAAATTAAAACCTTGCAAGCAAGTTGTGGCTAAATGGATACATTAAATATTTCAACAAATAAAACAGTGATGTTGACCAAATATCTTCTAAAGATATAAAATGCCAGAACCACTCATCACAAACAAACTCAGTCAAATACTAGAGTTCAGGAATATATATATATTTATGCATATCATTCCATGGAATATATATAGTCAACAGACAATTCTGATACTTGGACAGGGTTGAAAACTACCAGCATATATCAACACTTTTCAGGGTATAATTGCACTTTAGTAAAAAGGAATCCCTGGATGGAGATAGTTTTGAACAATGTTATAGTTGAGGAAATGCATAAGTACAATCTCATCTCATTTCGCCAGCCTGCCAGGGATTTATAACTTGACAGTAGTGAGCTGCAGGCATTTGGGAACACCACTCCTGGTCTGGGGCTTCTCTCGCTGCTGGCTGATTTATCTCCTTCCCATCTAATTCTTCAATGCATTTCTCTTTTCAGTCAACTAATCTTTACTTTGGTATGACCTATGTTCTAATTGTTCATTTTTCCTGTCATTCCCATTGGTGTGTTTTTGGTTCCATAACATACGTCTACTGTGTCTCTCCCTATTTTCCTCATTTCCTTCCCTTACGCTTTTAAGAAAATGTGTTTACTTTTCCCTCTTTATTTGATTTTATTTTTTCCATTTTGGCTGCACTGCATGTCTTGCAGGATCTCAGTTTCCCATCCAGGGATTGACCCTGGGTGATGGCAGTCAAAGAGTCAAATCCTAACCACCCTGCATTTTCTCTTTAGTTCAAACTCTTTTTCTAAAAGTTGTTGGCACTTGCACTTTCTGGGCCTGTTGTCCTTGTGTGGACTTTCTCCTCTAAATATTCTTAACACATTTTGACCTACTGAAAAAAATGCCATTTGGACAAGCAAGTTTCTAATATTATCCTTTATTAAACAATTGTTTCAAAATTTTTATAAACACATTTGTAGTTAAATTTGATTTTTAAAATTCCATGGAATACTTTCTTACTCACACACACAAAGCACAAAGAAAGGATTTTGCATTTGTTTAGTGGTGGAAACTGTGAACCCAAAAGTACACAAAGGAAAGATCTTTATTACACCTATGTTTAAAATAGATGTTTTCTTACACACTGAGCGAAGCTCCATTGGCATTATCCAAGTTTCTTGCTGACTGTTTTACGAAAATGCCATTGTGGTCACTCTGTTTACAGAATAAAATCTGGGCTAGTTCATGGACTTGCAGAATAAGGTTAATTGACAGGACTTTCACTGAAGCTTATACAAGTATTGGTATTATGCTCAGCCCCCCACCAAATGCACTGAAAACAGCAAAATTCTATTTTAGAATCTTTGGGTCAAAAGCCAGAATTTGATTTTTTTTTTTTTTTAATAACAATACTTTCTACCCAAACCTGGTGAAGAAATGATTCACATGTGCTTCAAGGCTACCCAAATTGTGATACTCCTTGAATGATCAAGAGAATAAACAGAAATGTGAATTGATAGAATTTTGTATGTGAAAAGAAGATAAATTTCCCAAATATTTATGAAAAATTATAGAAAATTGAGATTTTATAACTGGTTATTTAAAAAAATTAAGAGGCCACAGTTAACAAATGTGTTAATGTGAAGAGTAGAATGTTTCTTGAAATTTTGGCCTGTGTGAAACAAAACATTCTGAAATGTTAAAACTGGTCCTCTCCTCACTCTGGAAATATCCAAGGTATGGTCACTAGGCATCAGAATGGTTACTTAAAGGAGTATCATGAAAAGATGCAATGGCATCAACTACATGTTTTCTTGACTCAGAGAGAGATATTGTGTATTGGTTAGGAATGTGCCTCTGAGCCAGGCTAGCTGGAAAAAAAACTCAGCATGATAGTTTTCCAGCTGTGTAACCTTCAGCAAGTTAACTAACCTCTCTGTGCCTTGGTTTCCACACAACCAAACAAGGGTAACAGAATAACCAGAGCTTACATGTCACAGGATTCTTCAGAGGAATTAAATTAACATTTAGAACAAGGCCTGGCATCTAGTAAGTACTCAACAACTATTTGCTAAAAAAAAAAAACAAAATTACTTTCAGGAAATATTCATGCTAAAGAAGACTTTACTGAGAATACAATTTCATCCAGCCAAGAAGTAGATGCTATAGAAGCATCTGCTTAAGGCAGACCATATGTATCCCTCATACATATGAGTAAACACCTTAGAGAATTATCCAGAAACAGAATATGTGAGATACAAGTATGCATTCTAGGCCAAGTAATAAATGCATGCAGGATGTCAGGGCAACTGAGGATTTTTAGTAAAATAGTCAAAGAGATAATTTAATAATGTATTAAAATCTACATATTAATCACTTGTTCAAAAATGTGGAGGAAAAAATGATGACCCAAAGTCAATAGAAATTAAAATTATATATCCTCAATGGTTAAAGTCATGCATTTTAAAATTCTAGTCATGGTTAGAATGTGTAGCTTAGAAGAACCTTGCAGCATTTCAGAGTAAGGCTTTTGTTTTTTAGTGTGTGTGTGTATGTACCTGAAGAATGAATCAAGTACACAGCACTCTAAGGCTATATTATTATGACACAGGACCAAGTTTTGCCTGTGCCTCCCAGCAGGCCTTAGCCAACTGCTGGCAGGTGGCCTCAAAGATCACCAGATTTGTTTGTTTTCTTTCTGTTCTTTTCCCAGTTCAGGCAGCTCAACAGCACCCTGTGATTGCAGCAATGCAAATACCTGGTGAATAGTTTCATCTTTGCCTTCTCAAAATTTCAGGGGCTTTTCTCCAAAAGTGATCCTAAGTGGCCCACTCTTGTCTTTTGTGTTTTCCTTTCCTCTGAAGACTTCGCCCTACTCCTCCCACCCCACTCCCCACCCGCCCGCCTCACTCACTATAGTCCTAAAACCACTGTGAC